TAATTCTCACCATTGATATTAATACTAACCTCTGATGTTTATATAATAACATTATCAAAATGTGAATTTCAAACCTATGATGTTAAATTCACACCGATATTTTTTAGAATGTTGATTTGAATATACTTAAATTAATATTAAAGAAATATTTTTATAAGTAGTTCCTTAATATTCAATTATACAGTTAAATATTAACTCTTAGTACATACCTTAGTATTTGGGACCTTCACACACGATGAATTTTTCGTATCCTTAACTTTTATTATTTTTACAGGTAGGTATATAAATTATTAAGCAATTCTTATGTACATTTTCATGATAGCTTTAGAAAGTATTTATGAAGTATATATTTCTAATAATTATGTATACATTTCTAATAAATTGTTATATACAATTGTAGTATATAAATCAAAGAAAAAAAATATGCAGGACACGAATGACTCGAAGTGCAATGTATCAGGAATTAATATTTTAATCAATATAACTCATTTCGATTATATTAGAGTATAGTATTTCTTTTTCTTAAATGTAACTTATTCCATGTATAAAAATATTTTCCTTCGAATAATATTATTAAAATTGCATTAACATTAACTTAATTGTATTGTTTTTCAATAAATAATCTAAAAAGTTTTTATAGTTATTTGTATGTTGAATTGATAAGTGAATAGTGATGTATTTATAGGAATAATGTAACACAAAATTATACTTATTTATCCCATTCGCAAAACAAGTTTATTAATGCCATTTAAGTGGAATTTAAATATATATTATCAAAATCAATGCCATTATATTTACTATTTAATTTTTATTTAATATTTTTATATGTATATTTCTACTGAAAAAACTATTAAGTTGACTATAACGATGCTATTATTAATAAAAGCAAAAATACCAAAAATCATAAATAGCAAAAATCATAAAAACTTATTACAATATATATTCAAAATTACATTATAATTATAATGAATAAAAAAGACTTAATTGTATATATGCAGAGTAGTATTTCTGTTCGGATATGTGGTGGGGGATGTTGCATCGCTAAAGGAATAACAAAAAAAAAAAAAAAAGATTAACTCTAAGCCTTGATATCCTAGTCAAAAAATAATCTACATTTTTTTGAACCTAATTAGTTTTTGAGAACACAAATATTATAAATTATATAATTATAAGATAAATTTTTTATTGTACATATACAATATACTTAATTTTAAAATTATATTATTTACTTAATTTTTGAATTATAAGTTAAATAATATATTATATTATTTTGTGTTGTACATATAAAAGAATATATATATATATATATATATATATATATCATATGAAAGAAATACATAAGTATTAGACAATAATTATTCTCTGCGTTACATTGATATTTACACATGAACGAAAAATAAGGAAAGACTAATAATGGACAATCATTATTAATAAAAAATATTATTTCTATATACATCAATTTTAATGAGCATAGATGATTAAAATAAAAAATATTCTTTTTTTGTAGCGTACATATGTACTGTAAACACGTTCATAAGATTTATCTAGATTCTTTTATCCTTGATAATATTTATGTCATGATCACTAGTTCTACTGGTATAACGAGGAAATATAGAATGACATATATGGTCAACATATATGGTCAACATATATGGTCAACATTTTTGATGTAACATGTTAAAACTGAAAGCTGTAATTAATTCAGTCTTATTGTGAGAATAAATTTTATTGATTAGCATCACTTCAGAATACACATGAAGACATAACAACAACTAAAAAAATGTGCGAAAAGAAAGTTATGGTCATTTCAATCAAACCGGTATATATTACGATAAATTACAATAAATTACAATAACCTAATATATATTACAATAAATTCGCACTTAATAGTATTGCTTGATTTATGTATTGATTATATACGAATTGATATTTTGTAATGATTCGTACTGACAATGGAATGTTAAACACATGTAAGTAAAAAATGGTATACTCGGTCAAGAACACAAATTATTTGTACTTAATTTGTGAATTTTCATATAATTTCTAATTTAAGCAAACTGTGTGCTGATTATTTGTCAGTCTTAAAACACAGTCCTAAACTGAAGCTGAAGTAATAATACCATAAATTAAATTGACAAGCAATTTAATATTTATATTAATAACTATCTTATCTAAATATCATATAATTAATGGAGATGTACTTATAATAAGTCGATGAATGTTTAAAAAATACTACTTTAATTAAACTATTTAATATTACTTTTGAATAGTTACTTTTTTAAATAATAAATCTTAGTAATTTGAACTAAGTAAATAGTGCTTATTAACTTTATTTAATATTTATTTTTTTACCGATGTATTTATAATATCATGATCGATATTATCTAAGACACCTCAGAAATGACAATGGAATCGACATCAAATCGATGTCGTAAGTAAAAAAATCGTATATTTACCTACAAGTGAAATCGTGATATGGAGTACAAAATAAAAGAAAAGTATTAATTTATAATAATTATGTATAATAGGATACACATACACCACACACACACACACACACACACACACACACACACTATACACGCACGCACGTGCACGCGTATCGAGCGAGTAGGTGTGCGTGCACAGTAGGTGAGTTCATACACACACATATATATAATTATATATTATATGGGCTATTTGTCTCGGGAAATCATTTCTCTATACTCTCTTTTTGTAATATAATTATTATATAAAATATATTACATCTAGAAAAACCTTTTTTTTACAACATCCCAGCAAACGAGAATAGATTGAAATGAATTGAAATGGATTCAGATTTCCAAAAATATTAATTCAAGAATGTTAAAATGAATGCTTTTCAATGAATGCATTTTTATTCATTTATAGGAATTGCATAGAGCATACATCCCTATGCTTTTCAATCTAAAAATAATATTAGCTTTTTCTATGTACAACATACACATTGTGAATACTGTTCAATTGAAAATTTTGAATAGGAAATGCAGTTTTTCAATTACATCCAATTGAATCCAATTAAATCCAAAAAAAGTATTCGCTATTTATATATATATAAAATATGGATTCAGAGAAAAAAAAATTTCAATCGATTTTAATTAATTTTTGTTTACTGGGATATTATCCTTAATCTTTTTAATAAATATAAGAAAAAAATATATAATTATAAAAAAAAATTATAATTCTTTCTTTATTTGTTTTTTCTAATTGCATAATTATTTCTTATAATATATAATTATAAATCTCTTTTTTATTAAGATATATGTATATTTAAATTGGATTATGTTGAAAACTTAGATGTAACAATTACATATAAATCTTTGCTATTGTTTAATTAAATAATAAATGTTATATAATTATTTGTAACAGTTTTGCTGTACTTATTGCTTTTCTGTTTTAATTAAATTTAATTACATTTTAACAAAAATTTTAATTTTCGCCTAATTAAATTAAAGATGTCGCGGCACGCGATAAAGCCGACAAATCTTCGGCGTTTTCACAGCGCGTAGTATCGACCATTGGCGCTTGACATCTGTCTCTCTGAGTTTTTGACACGAAGAAGAAAATACAAGTTCCTAAATTAATGATTCTCGATCAATTCGAGGATTTTATTCATCTGAAGTGATATGTGAAAGTTATCGAACTACATTAATCATTTTTCAATGTGCTAACAAGACATTTTACGTGTTTTTATTTTCTAACCTATAATAGTAGATATACATATCTAGTGATACATATCTAGTTTGATTAATTAAATAGTATTAGAAAAAAATGACATCTTCCCAAACGACGGAGTTAACCGAGGAATTGGTTAAAGACTATGCGAATTATGCAAAAGTGGACTGGAATAATCAGGCGAGTGTGCTATTTGTATTTTGTATTCTATCCATTATTGATAGTTTGCTATTTAAGAAATTATTAAATAATTCGTGCTGGTTTTAGGTGAAAAATGTTCGCGATCTCATAGAGGATACATTGATACGACTGGAGGAATTCCAATCGATTGTTGCAATGGTTAGATATGAATCTAAATAGAATATACAAATGTATCGATTCAATATTGATACTGAAACATTAAACATTTCTGTCTCTGAAGGTGGAGAATAGCAGTGCTGAATGCATGCAGCAACATCTTCCAAAGTTACAGCAAATGAAAGATGGTATGGCAACTCTTCGCAATAGGATAGATGCACTAGAGCACATTGTTGCAATGGCAAACATGAATTTAAATACATTGGAAGCTGCTGTAGACAAGGCAGAGGCTGATCTAGGTGTATCAGATAGATTATTCGGGATATTGAATCCTCTATCATTTTTTGTAAGTATGACATACTTAAAGGATACACTTTAGCATATATTTTAAATTATTACATGATTAAATTATACATTTTATGATTGTCATGTACATAATAATTTCTTGAGCAACTTAAATTGAATTTTTCAGAAGAAAACTCATGAACCAGTTGCGTCAAGTACAACATTAGTATACAAATCACCCGTAATTTATAAATCTGATGACTATTTTCAAAGAGAATAAAAAACATGTATATAAAAAGAGGCTTAGATTATGAAGCACCTGTTGTTAGATCAAGAAAAGTATTTATAAATTGTATGTTAGATCAGTAATTCATATCTATACAAAAAAATAAAATTAACTTAAAATTAACATTAAATAAATCTATAATGGATTTTTATTTCATGTGTTATATTCTGTTTATTACATCGATCAACATAACTGCTTGATTAGTAAGATTTTATATATATTATATTTCATTAGACAATCATCTATGATAATGATTAATTGTAAACATTTCTAGTTTGTAAAAATATTATTAAAAAACATTTATTTCATTTGTCCAATCTCCCAAAATTTTAAGTTTAAAATCTGCATCTTATAAAAATATTTAAATAAAGCAAAAAAATATTTAATTTAATTTTTTGAAATAAAAACACATTCGTTTTTATTGAAGAAATATGTGTGAAAAATAAAATATAAAAATAAAAGATATATAAATGATGAAATCTGAATAACAGATAGAAGTTTCTATAGAACTATTTACTTAGAAAATTCTCTATAATTTTTAACTTCACTCTTCCTTCTATTTAATTATCATTAATGAAACAATGTAAATTTCTTAAAACTACATTGTGCATAAAAAATATTTTAACATGCTGCGGAAGTACATGTTTTCAACTGAGCTTTTTTCTCCCCCAAGGAGCAACGTCCGCCTATGCAATGTCTCCATCTCATGATCTTGCCTATTCCACAAGTGACACTGCATGTTGACCAATTACCCCATTGGTCCCATATTTTTGGTTCTCTGTTGTTTTTTTCTGAAATAATATCATACTAGTTATTGTGTATAAAAATCAAATTCTAATGAATGTAGTAGAAAATCAAGATCAAGAATAAAATCTTTTAGTACATCGATATAATTATTTAAGTTGTAATTATATAAAGAAAAAACAAATTCTACAAAATCCAATTAAAGTATAAATTAACTGTAGAAGTTTACAAAGAGAGTCAAAAATCAGAAATATATTTATAAAAATTTTTATAAAAAAAAAACATTTCAATCATAACTCAAATTGCTTGGTAACTCATATTGGTTTCTTTTGAGAAAAAGGGATAGTTAGAAATTAAAAAGCATTTCTGAAATAAACGATTCTATGGAAACTTCCATCCATTACTTAAACTTTGTTGCTTGTACACATTTCACTTGTATTATTTTTTATTCGTACTTTACTTAATTGTTTTATCTCCTTTAATATAAATTGTAATTATTACATCAAAATAAAAGATAAATTACATGAAATATTGCTAAAGAATTCTCGATATTAATTTCGCTTAGGTAATACGAGCATTTCTGACTCTAACAACAATTTACATTCAAAAAACATTTACCTGAAAGGTTTTTTATGCTGTATAAAAACGTTCGTTAACTAGACATTACTAACGTTAAATATATATTCATTAATCATCAAAATGTTTCGTAAAAAAGTATTTGAAACTAGTAAAAGAAACGTTTAATAGTAGATGCGTATACATTCATTAGTTTTAAAAACGTATCAAATTTTAAATATTTATTTTTTGTTACATTTATTATGTAATTTCTAATGTTTATTAAATGCATTTTAAAACATAATTGCGTTGATTGGGAATTGAAAAAAAACAATCAAAATTTCTATCCGTTACCTAAATTTTACGTTATTATTATAAATTTTAGTTGTTCTTCAGTTTGATCGAATTGAATGATCAGGAGTAAAAATTTAAAATTTTGCAAATATATGTTACGCAATGTTGCACTTTTGTTTATATCGCAAAAATTTTAAACCACGATGTTGCAAGAAAGAAAAGATATTCCAATCATGCAACTCGTGGAAATTTCCATCCATGCACTGCCCAAATGTTGTTCATGTATGTTTCAATGATCGGTATTGCGGAAAGGTAAATCTTGAACCGGTCTCGGAGAAAGCCACAATCACCGACCAGTGTGCGATCTGCGATTGCACATGATTCGCACCTACTCTTTTTTTATTTATTTATTGACCCTTACGCTTTATTTAAATAAAAAATCCACGTCTATATAGAGTATTAAATATAGGGTTTAAAATAACGCTCACTAATCATATAATGCTATTCCTAATGAAAAAACTGAATCGAAAAATCCTCCATTTGCAACTTTTGCAATATATTTTTTTTAATTACCCAATAAATAAAATGTCTAAAATCGACGTATAAGACATCTTTAAAATATTTTTAAAAGTTCTTTAAGAAACATCTTCAAAATATTTTACAAAGAAACTGAAAGATATCTTAAAACTGTCTTACATATCGATTTTATTCGGCAATCTTTAAAATTAATATCTCATTAACTATTACGAAAATTAGAAGATGCGTAAAGGACTTTTTATTTTATTAAAGGACTTAATTATTTTATTAGGAATAGCACTGTATGATTAGTGGACGTTATTTAAGATACACCCTGTATTCTGTAATCACAAAAAATAGAATTACATAGTTTCATATAGCTGTGCAACATTTCACAAGTACGCTAGTTAATTGATATAACTCCACGATAAAATGCCGATCGAATGAATTGATGCTGCAATAAATACTTTGCTAAAAATTCTATGGATTATCTAAAGAAAGGCGTTATGAAAAGGCCAATTTTTGCTGTCTGCCAATGGGGGAAATCGACTCAAACGTGTTCATGCTTGAAAACTCCGTTGCATTTAACTATTTAATAATTATTAATGTAGCATTTTTATAAGCTATTCTATATTTTTAATATTAAAACAAAAATATTTGTTTCACGAATAACTATAATACCAAACGTTTCCCGGAATGAATTCAATTTTTTGTGTATTCCACATGTTGTAATTTTAACTAATCGAATTCTTCACCTTAAAAATTGTAAATAATGTCAATTTAATAAAAACCTTTTTATAACATTTTTTTCTTTTTCTAATAGAAAAAATTTAATAATTAGTACAAATAACAGTATACGTATTCCAGCAATAAATCTTCATTGAAATTCCTTATTCTATAATTATATTGAACCTATTTTATTTATATCTTTTAATTGTAAATAGTTGATTTTATATGCAACCGCATTTACCTCGTTTTATCAGTGACTGGATGTTATCATCCTCTTCGCGATCGTCAATATCGCGAAATATATCATAAATTTTACGTTGGAGTCTATCCGATTTTATTTTTGATGTGTCAATATCACTTTCAACAATGTTAGATGCAATATTTGTCGACGTTTTGTCAATTTCCGGAGTGGCTTTTTTAAAGGCTAAAATTGAAAAGTTATTTCGCTTACTTCTTTACTTAAAAAAGTAATATACTGTGTGAGAGAGAGAGAGAGAGAGAGAGAGAGAGAGAGAGAGAGAACATAAAAATCCTTTAGCAGTATATTTACCCATAAAAAGCAGGAACATGGCTAAATAAGCAAAGATCAATGTATTTCTATCCATTAATATATTTTATGCATTGATTTATATATATAGAATGTAACATTAATGTAAATTATTTTCTTCTTCTTCTTTTTTTATTCCCGTCTGCTTCGCTAATGATACGGCATACGGAATTGCTGCAATGAAGTTTGTTCTATATAATTAAAACCATGATGTAATATAAAGATAGGTGGAATGCGCAATAAAATAGTAGAGTAAATTTAGATTCAAATGAAATTGGCTGTTCTAGTATCCTTTATATCCTAATATCCTATTATGCGCGATATTACACTTATAAAAAAATGTATTTGATTCTTTCTCATTAAACCATCGATGATTAAAATTTATATTAACCTATTAAATTCACGTTGAATATAAAGTTTTGAACAATTAACCATCAATATTATATATACTGTCGCTATAAAATATTAATCATGAAAAGAACCATTTCTATAAGTCATAATTTAAAACTCAATTTAATATTATCAAAATGTATTGCATACATTTTCAGAACGTAATGCATGTATATTACATATGTATGTAGATATATTGTACTAATATACATATTTTATCTTTAAATCTATTTTTCAAATTTTTGTCGTTACAGTGCAATCTTATAAAAACATTAAGGAAAATAATCCGTGGCTCAACATCCGTGCTTGCATTCTTGTATTCTTCTTGTTATTAGATCAAGATAATTTTATTCCAGGAAAGAGTAATATCCGGAAATAAACTCTCTCTGTAATAGTTTACAAAGTAAGGACTTTTTTGTTTGTGCGTTCTCGAGACCGCTTAGTACTTTCCACATAATGATGTCAAGAAGACTTTGTCGATTACTTTCGCAAGTCGCAAACGGATCACGATTTTAACCCGAGCCAGCCGAGGATGCCTTTGGTACCGCAATCCTTCAAATGGCAGCTTTTCAACTGTGCCTTCTTGAGACCTTTAGTGCAATCTGCGGACAAACAATGACGCCAACGGACCTGTCGTCCTTGCCCACAAGATACACTGCATGCACTCCAAATGCTCCAATTGTCCCAGGCTGCCCAATCTGCAGTGAGAGGCAAAGAAAAAACACAATTTAACACCTTCAACGTTTCACATTCAGTTTCATTACGTTGCATAAAACAATAGTTAAGGAAAATTTGTTATGTGAATTTTATAAAATTATGAAATGCGAACTTATGAAACCAGAATTTATTTCAACGCCTACATATAACACTTTCTATTCCTCCATGTATTTCTATTACGCAAGTAACATCTAGTTCTTCCTCGTTACTTTATATTTATAAAATGCATTTTTGTTAACGTTTATATTATTTAATAAATCATTTTCAAAATATTTATGTAACAAATAGATTACAAAATAATTAAAATGATCAACTATTTAATTAATTAGGAAAATTATGATAATTACAAATAAAAGAATAAAAGAAAATAAAAAAATGTTAAACTGCAAAAAAAAATTATCTCTTTAAAATTGAATAGTCCATTCGAAGGAGTAATTTTAAAATATCCGCGTGTACACTAATACATTTATTGGAATAGAAATATAATTTGACATAGCATATCTTATTTTTTACTAATATCTCTTATAATATCTTTTTTGCTATTTTATTATCAGAAAACATATTGTAAAAGACATCAACAAAAAATTAAATGTTCGATGGTTTTTATACAGAATTATTTTCCTTGTTATCTTATCACCTATATTTTCATCGTTCGAGAAGGTTTCCTTTGCATCACGTTTCTTCTTTGTCAAATCCCCCGATACTCTCATTTGAGTAATTTCATGAGGTATTCTTTTAGATTTGCTGTATTTTATAGGGTGCATTTCGAAAAAGTCTTGCTCGTAACCAAGCAACTTTCGCCGATAGATTATATCAGCACTCGTTTGAAAGTACAGATAGAAATTTCTCTTTGTATTTTTCCAATAACGCTGCAATAATGAGGTCAGTGTCTTGTTTTATCTAATGTATATGTAATATATGCAATAAGTATAACATATTTATTTAACAAACACGATACGGGACTCTCAAAGTTGAAACACGTGTATAAGTTTTTGCTTCTTATTTTGCAAACCTTGGGTTTGTTCGTTGTGAATCGCTGAATGGAACGATGACACAATTGCGAATAAATGTCTGAATAAAAGCGTCTTTCATTGCTGAAATATGTCAAACTATTGAATAAACTAATCAATCTTTCTTAAGATTTATTATAAAAACAACGAAAAAAAATATATTCTTCGCCGCGGTATGTATTTAATGGCATTCTTCATATTCATGAAGAAATAAAGAGATTAATAGATTTGTATTATAATGAATGTTTTGTAATGTATGTGTAACAAGTAACAATACAGCTAATATTCTTTGAATAACGTGGCATTACTGCACCTTTTAGTTTCATCATTCGAATCTATAATCAATCCAATATTATACTCATAATTCGATACATTAATAGCAAATGCTCTGTCAGTGCAAGACTTTGGAAAATTTAATACTTCATAAATTACGCATCCGAAGTAAATATTGTACATCAAAATTAGTTTAAGTAACATTTGCATATCATATTTTCGGTTCTCATTACGCGGTTATGGACATGTATAAATATCGATAGAAAACTGTGTCTAAATTCACAATATTTTTGTCTTTACCATTCATTATATGCAAAATATAAACAGAAGTATTGAAAACATTCTAATGTAATATAATATGTTATATTTATAGCTCAGGCTATGCTTAGATGCCGTATCTGAAACGCGAAAGAAAATAGTTAAATATTCTTATCTACCCTTTTAATCAATTAGAGAATATATATTTTCATTTTTTCATAGTTAAGTAATGAAATAAAAACCAGAGGAAACAAATAAATATTCCTGCAAACATAATAAGAAATGTAGATTTATATATAACATGTATTATAAGTGTTATAAAATAATTTATGAAATAACTATTATGTTTATCCTGTAGTTTATTATATTTTTTTTTCTTTTTCTTTTATTTGAAAATATCTCTTAATTGTGAATGTTTCGTAATTATATACAATTTGTTACTATTTAAAAAAACAAAGTATTCATACGTTTACATATAATTATATTCTTATAATTTATTTATATTTAGAGATTATATAGAGATTATATTTTGATAATTAAACTTTAAAAATTTACGTAAAACTATATTAATAATTAATAGAGTAATAAACAAGTTCAATGGTAATAATTAGTATAAAACATTACATTTCTATTTAAAAATGCGTTATAAAGATTATACATAATGATTTATGGGCATCTTGATTGTGTATAAAAATATAATTAAATGTTATTATCAAACTTTCCTATCATAGATGCATTACTGTTTCATGAAACTTCCAAAATATGAATTTGTGTACTGTATGTTACATATGATTGTATGAATACTCAGTAATAAAAAATGTTTCTATTAGTCTATGTGCTAATGATGATACACAATCTAAAATTTATAATCATTATATGTAATAAAAAATGCTCCTAAAATTTAGCCCATTTTGTGACTCTCGAATTTTTAATTAAACTGTATGCCAAACAATGCTATGTGATCCCAGTAAGCAAAATGTCGACAGACTAGCAACAGATTGAATGATTTGATTAGAAATGTCAGCAGACTGACATCAACTACAGGCGCATTCTGTTTCCGTCGAGATTCTGTTGACAGAATCTGCTCACATAATCAGACAGATTGTGAAACAGAAAGCTTTGAGCTGTAAATCTTGTTTGATTTCTGCCGCTAATCTGCTAGCATAACATGTCAGCAAGCTTTGCTATTTCTAATATATAGGCATATTTCTAACAGTTTGCTGACACATACACATATATTGTCAGATATACTCTTGTAGCCTTTCTGCTATCAGAAATTGATAGTATACTCTATTTAAAATCTATTTTTACGACTTGGCTATCTGGAATGGGAACATTAATTCCAGAAAAAAATTAAATTGAAAAATTAAATTGAATTAAGGATTATTTTGGAGTTAAAATGGTCAAATTCCTAATATTTCCAATATTGTTCAAGCATTATAGACAAAAAGAAAGTTATATGTCCTTGATAAATAAATAGATAAAAAGAAAATTAATATGTCCTTGATAATAGTGAGATTTTTTAATAGAATTAGTCAGAATAATTTTTTTACTCTTCCCTCCTTGTTGCTTATTTTTTTTAAACTACCCTCAGAAAAGTTTTTGCGGAATTTCTCAAAAACAAATGCAAAAAAAAATATGTTTAGCAGATTATTTTGGTCCAGGATTTCAAGATAAACATTTTATCCTAAATATGTTTTCGATAGTTCGATTCGAGATTTGAAAGTCACAAAATAGGTATATTAAGAAACGTGTTTTTGAGATTATTTTTTCTTGCGATATAAAAATATATGTATAAGTTAAGTTTTATCTACTTGAAGATGAAAAATATGAAATATTAGTAAAATGTACATTTATCACATATAAATAAATTTTAACTCTAGCTGAAATAGATAATGCTTTGAATTATAAAGGTAGTTAGAATAATTTAAAAAAGCCCAACTTTAATCTGAGCAAATTATATAATTTATATTTAGATTACTCTAATATCGGTAGACTTCTGCAAAAGAAACATTAAACTAATATGTTACAAATATCGGACTAATTATAATCTGAAGAAAGCTTTGTGTGCTCGACCATTCGGTATTTGACCCTGTAACCTTAATCTGCGGACAGCCTCTCTCAAGTGCTTTGGTTGTAATGGGCCAGTTTCATTTTGTGCCTCCATAACATCTAAAGCTGTGCGACAAACGCAATAATCTAGAGTAAAATTCTAATATTCTATTCTAATAATATTTACAAAAAAATAACTCCTACCTTCTTCAACAATTTCGCCAACAAATACCTTAGCAATTCCTGACATAGCTATAACAACGTTTTGAGATACTGAACAACCTGTTATGGTTTGCATAATCTGAAATATTTAATAAAATACTTTCTTAAAAATAGAATTTTATTTTTTGCATGTAATGATTAAAACTAAGATACAGTACTCTCTTTATAGCTGCTTTTGGAAATGCGGATCGTCTGTACATTTCGTATCTATCCAGCTGATCTTCAGTAAAGTTAGATACTAGCACCCTAAAAAAAATTTCAAATATATTCTCAAGATTTAAGTATATGAACTTATAAAAGCACACACGCGCGCATATAAATATTTTAAATACCCAATAATAATATAATCCCCTTACTTCAGAAGTGACATAATTAAAAAAATTAAATTTCTCATAAAAGAAGAAAAGTATTTTTTAATTTGGCAGAAAATTATTAATTAATCAATATTGGTAAAGAGAATATATTCTTAATATGATTCAGTGACATTTTTTTCATTTTTGTTTTACAATCTTTAAAAAATCATCCTTTTTGATTTATGACGATCTTTTTCAAACCATCCTTTTTAATCCTTTGTAATCATTAAACATCAGATACATACTGCATCTTTTCTCTCTCCTCTTCTTCTATCTCCTTTTTGCTCTTTTCTTTACTTTCCCGCCTTTCTTTTGTACTGACTGGATTAGCACGAGGTATCATAATATCATTACTAAATATATCTTCAGCAGTTTGTTCTTCTATCTTCATATCAAGTTCTTGCTTCACAGTCTCTTGATTCTCTGCAACTGAGCAGGTAGAATTAGATCCAGTGTTTTCAATTTCCTCAGCATCTGATTGCGATTGGGAACTCATTGCATCCGATTCTGTCTATGTAATACAGATAATACAATTAGTTTATCTAAGGTAGTTTTTTAATAAATCGAGTTACCAGATATGTCTAATTTTTTTATATTATATAATGAAGTTGAAGTACTGAAATTGATGTATGCAAAATTCTATGGTAGGTTAACGATGAAATAAGAAAGAAAAAAATGTTGAAAATGTAACCTTTCATGAAATAATTTAGTGACAGATAAAGCTCACAGATGCTTCTTTGACTAACTGTACACAAATCTTATCATAGACTTTTCTCAAAAATGAGATTATGATTTAAAAAAAAATTACAAAAATTAATTTAATGGTAATAAAAAGATAATAAGTTAACAGCCATTCTGGAAAGATATTTATATCCATAAACTTGCATATCAATTTAATCTTGAAAAGTAAACATAATCATCTTGTTTTCATTCAATAAAGATACAGTTCTTGATTTATTATCGTATATATACCATACTATTTTATTAAGATAGACATGTAGTTTTAATATTTTATCCAAATTATGTAGATATTTGTAATTTTGGGTGAGCTCTGGTGAGAAAATCCCAAATTTTCAGCACTTTCCAAAGACCAGAGTTAATTTTTCAACAGTATTTATACCTTAACTTGTAAATTATCAATCTCCACAGCTTCAATATCTTTGGATCCTGAATTTTGTGTAAGACTAGTTTTATTATCTTCATGCTCTTCTACATTTTTATGCTCACTCTCTTTTTCATCCCCAGAATCTTCCTTTCCAAAGATATTATCCATCTTTCTAATGGAAAAGATATATATAAAATATATATAAAGTGTATAACAGGAATTATTAATCTGTTGCTATTAATTTATATATTTACAAATATGTCACATAATATTAATAAAAAATCTTACAAGATTATAACATCTTAACAATAAGAATCATATTATAACATCTTATATTATCTTATTTGATGATGTTTCATATGATAAGTTTATATAGGTTTTCAAAAATCAATTAAGATAATAAAGTGTTGTGTAATATCATTAATTATCGAAATATTGTTTATCAATACCTATACATATATAATATGTAAACATATAGTTTCATATACATTCGTATACATATTTCATATATGTGTATATATTAAATCGTATACTTATATTATATATTTCGTATACTTTTGTAGACATATATTAAACAATATTTCGCTAATTACTGATGTTACGCGACATTTTAATTCTTTCGAACCTGAATAAACTAAACATCATAAAATAAAAACATTACAATCTTGTAATATTCTTTTTATTTAATATTAGCCATTATTTAATATTAGACATTATTTAATATTAGACATAATAATATTAGCATAAAAATTTGGTGATTTGTTTAAACGTTTTATAAGTTATAAAGTAAATAAAAAAGAAGCGGGAAAATAAATTACTCCACATGCTATGGTTTCTTTAGGCCGAAATCAGACTACGCATTGAAGAATGAGATTGAAGATTGAAAGATTAAAGTTTGACCAATCCAGAACAAAAGAAGCCAAAACTTCTTTGTCCTCATTGATGAAATTTCAATCTTTAATCTTTAATCTCAATTTTCAATGCATAGTCTGATTTCGGCTTTAGAGTTTAGATTTATATATACTCAGGTACACACATATTTACAACAAATATTTTATTGCAAAACGTTAATTTATATTATTTATATTTATTGATAAAATGATTCGCCACTAATATCAATAAAGAAACGATATCTTTTAATGAAGAAATGTTAATCGAAATGATAAACATCATACACAAAAACAGAATTAATAGAAGATTGGAAGAGTACAGATTCAATGGAACAAAGTAGAGGCACAATATACACCACACAACGCGAAACTCAAGTAGTTAAGGTTAGTAAGATTAGAGAGAAACTTGAGAACGACTATCCTGTTATA